GACAACTTGGTCTTTGCCACCGCTGACACTGCTGGACTCGCCTACGTGAAGTCCGAGCAGCAGAAGAGACACACGTGCACAGACCTGGGTGAACTGCGCAGCTACCTTGTCTTGCAGATCACCCGGGACAGAGCACGCCGCACCATTACCCTGACTCAGTCACACATGGTGCAGCACGTCCTTCAGCGCTTCGGCTTCATGTACTCCTCGCCTCAGGCCACTCCTCTGCCTACTCGCCACTCACTCTCAGCTCTGCCTTCGGATGAGCCCGTAGAGTCGAGTGGCCCGTATCCAGAGCTTGTTGGCTGCCTCATGTACCTGATGACCTGCACACGACCTGACCTTGCATACCCTCTTAGCATTCTCGCACGCTATGTTGCTCCTGGGAGACACCGACCAGAGCACATGGCTGCAGCGAAGAGGGTGTTGCGCTACTTGTGCAGCACATCGGGCATGGGGCTAGTGCTTGGAGGGCGCAGTCTAGTGGTCCTCACTAGGCACGCAGACGCTTCCTGGGCTGACGACCAGGCTACACAGCGGTCGTCACAGGGTTACACCTTCAGCCTTGGTTCCGGCACTGTCTCGTGGCGGGCTACTCGCTCATCTTCTGTTCTCGGCTCCAGTTGTGAGGCTGAGATCTACGCTGGGGCCATGGCTGCACAGGAGCTTCGCTGGCTCACCTACCTGCTGACCGACCTTGGAGAGCCGCCTCGTTCTCCTCCAGTTCTGTACGTAGACAACAAGGCCATGCTGGCCTTGTGTCGAGTGCAGCGACTGGAGCACAGAACGAAGCACATTGCTCTCCGCTACTTCCTTGCTCGTGAGCTACAGCAGCGTGGTCAGTTGCGGCTTGCGTACGTGGCCTCTGAGGCCAACACTGCTGATGTTTTCACCAAGGCACTTCCGCCTTGTGATCATCAGCGCTTCTGTACTCAGCTGGGTCTTGTGCCTGTCTTGCCTCACTTGCTCACCTCTTGACCTTGCTTGTACTGTTACATATATATATACCTGCTCTTGCTTGTCTAGTCTTATATATATATGTACTCCTGCATGTGAACTGGCCTTGTGGCCTTGAACTTGTGCTCGGAATGTGTGGTGACTTTGTGATCCACCCTGAGCTTTGCTTTGCTTTGCTTGACTGGTCTTGTGACCCCCTGTTCTCCCCCACTTTGCCTATGGGGGGGTGTAAGAACATTATAGCTTATACTGTTGTGTAGGCTATAGTTGGGTATCCCATAGGGGGTACAACCCAATTAGGGTTTCCTATATGTACTCACTTCATTCATAGTTCATTCATTCTCGTTTCAGGATTCTGACATATATCTCTTCATATTCTCTGTACTCATATGTATATATACATATATTCCTGTATCTCTTTGCTTTAATCAACTTACTTTGCCCTCACATACTAGCGCAAGGTGGTTCAAGGACTTTATTGAAACGCTTCCGCTATTACATCATTTTACTCAGACCTTAACTCTACAAAGATCCTAGGGCGTCTCAGCCCAAGACCTGTAACCCTTCCTTATGATCAATCGGGGATCACCAGTGGACCTCTTACAGGTGCAGGTGGTATCTGAGCTCACAACGCTCAGGAGGGAGTATCTGGAGGAGGCGTTACATGGGGTGGCTGAAAGGAGTGACGGGGATGTGGAGGGGCAGAGCGCACGGTGCTTGGGAAATGAGATGGGTGCTGCTGAGAGGATGGTGATGGGAGGGAGTGCTGGTAACGGCGGCATGAAGTGATGGGTTGGAGTGCTGCTGGGGATAGGGCTAGCCTATACGGGGTGAAAAGTGATGAGCAGGGTTGGAGGTGGGAGGGAGCAGGAGGTGGGAGGGAGCACGGGTGCTGTTAGTGGCAGGTAGGTAGGGGACCAGTTGAATGTGAGGATGAGGGGTCATATCGGTTGAAGGTGGAGGCGCAAGTGAATTGTTGGAGGTGAGCAGGGCTCAGGTTTGCAGTGTAATTTACCCTTCTACACTGATTACAAGGGTGAAATTTTGGGTCTACACTGATGTGCTGGGGTAATTTTTTTATGAGTTAGTGTTACACTCAGGCCCTCAGATGTCAGCGTAAAACACGCTGATTACGCTGATTTTGTACCTCTAAATTTCGTTTTCCCTGGAAAATCAGTAAATGCTTCCATTTTGGGCTGAAATTTCAGTAAATGTGAGTTTGCCACACTGACGGTTTTGTGTGTTTCTGAACGAGTTACACTGAGGAATCAGTATACTTCAATGCGTCACCCTGAAACGGATTTGACCGGCCGGGGGAAAGGGGGGGGGGGGGGGGAGGGGGGGGGGGGGGGGGGGGGGGGCGACGCGTGTACAGGCTGTTCCTTCGCGTGATTCCCGAAACCCCACACACACTTGGAATCTTCTCACATGCGCTGTATTTACAGCTAGTGCGCGCCGAACCGTTTTGCCGCGCTGGAAGCCAGAATACCAGAGAACGGCTAACCTAGTTCACAACTGCCCAATGAGAACACAGACAACACACCACTGGTGGCAGGGTCCACGCCAACACGCCAGGGATGGCAGAGTGGAGTGGGGGTGTTGTCATCTTGCCTTGGAAGACGGAAACCCTGGCCTGGACCAAGATCCCTCGTCATCGCAGCTCGGGAGAGGGGGTACCCCCATCTGCTCCCTCATTCTGTTCCTGCACTCCTCGTGAACCCCTGCAGGAAGTGATGTTCGAGCTGAAGCAGGAGTAGCTTCTCCCTCAAGCTCGGCATGCTCTGCAGCGCTGAGCAGCCATGGCGGTTTCGACGCCCGCAGGTGACGGCCCTCCGCCCGTCGCAGGCACGAGGCCAGCCGCTATTACTGGCTTAGACTTTTTACGACGCGTTCACGCTGCTCCCGCGTTAGTCCCGCCGTCAGCTCAAGCCGTGCCGTTCCCTTCCACTGGCCCCGAGGCACCTACCATCTGGACGCAGGGCGAGTGTTCGACGCATGTAGGCGCTGCCGCTTCACCTCCTGTCGCTGCTGCATCAACTCGTGTCGCTGCCGCATCAACGCCTGTCGCTGCCGCATCAACGCCTGTCGCTGCCGCATCAACTCCTGACGCTGTCGGATCTACACCTGCCGCTCCCGAACCCACACGGAACCGTCAAGCTGTCGCTGCCGGAACTACTCGGCAAGGTCCTCGTCTTAAAAGGGGTATTAAAGTGAGGTACCACCAGACCAAGATCGGGTGGGGTTCCAGTCAAGCTACACCAACGTCCGGTGTGGGTAACTCTTCCCCGAAGGCCCGTCAGCGTAAAATGAAGGGGAAAGCGGTTGAGGTGTCTTCCGATACAGAACTGCCCGACATTTCCGAGGAGAAATACCAAGAGGCTTTAGCTATGTTTAACAAACAATGGTCTGACGACTACCCGTGGCTTGTACTGCTGCAGAATAAAGCAGGGTTCCCGTCAATCAAGTGCAAGGTCTGCATTGCGCACGCCGGTACGGGGACGAACTTCGGCGCCAAAGGAGAAGGGGCGACCGATGTTCAGACTCAGGCGATGCGGAAGCATCAGCGCACAAGGCGATGTCGCTGCTCGACTACGACATGGACTGGGACAAGGTGGTGGACATCTGGCGGAGTACCAGGAACAGGCGCCCCAGCAAGCGCAAGGAGCAAGCTGCGCTAGAGAAGGAGCGGGCCAAGGCCAAGTTTGTTAAGGGGAGTGGCCGCCGGCTGGTGCAGGTGGAGGAGGAGCTAGATGAGGGCATGAGTGGTTCTGCAGGCGATGACAGTGAGAGTGATGATGATGGCAGCAGTAGCAGTAGCGTTTCTTCTTCAGATGATGACATGAGCTAGTTCTCTAGTAGTACTAGTTAGGTAGGTTAGGTTAAGTATATTTATTTTGGACTTTTTTACACTGAAGGATCAGTACAGTGGAAAATTTTACCCTGACAGGATCAGTATATTGAAAACCACCAACGCTGATTTGGACACCTGGTTGGCAGGGGCACGCTGATCCATCAGCATACCCTCAAACCAATCTGAGGGCCTGGTTACACTGATCTGTAAGTGTATCGTTCTTGGCCACACTAATGCCTTGGGGTAATTTTTTACTTATCGTAGATTACACTAAAGTGCGTACAGAGCACCCCTTCCCCTCCCCCCCATACTTGCGTTGGCTGCTGTCATGTGTCCGATTGGTCAGTTAGGAATAGTTCCCTTGCCAGCACGGCACGCAATCCCACATTGGCAGCAACTACCGGTACAGTATTGCTGCCTGAACTAAGTCCTGGGAGTGGGACCACATTCAGATTGTCGGTGCTTGGAGATGCAAACCACGGTCCCCGACCGTGGCGCTCTGTGGCAGTGTACGGAAAAATCTCACACTGGAGTTGCAGGGTAAAATTTTAAAACGGATATGTTACACTGCTCTGGCAGTGTAATGAAAAAGTTCACACTGCTCATAAGGGTTTTTAAAAAAGCTACACTGCCAATCGTGAGTTAGCCAAATCCAAAACGAAGCCCTGGAGGTGAGAGTGAAGAGCGTGGTCATTGTACAGATGGGACTGGACTGGAGTGTTGCTGGGTTGGCACGCGTCTTGTAGACTAAGCTTTTCCCTCCCTTGTCGTCGCTTTGCATGTAAATCGGTGTATTTGCATATGCTACTCTAAAGTCCAACAGCAGCTTGAGTTGTTTTAACATATATTCCTTACGACGAAGTAATTCTTGTTGAAAATAGAGTATGCAAATGAGACTCACATAGGAAAGTGGAATGGTAGTAACTCAGGCTATCTACATCTAACAGGCAATCTACCACCTAGTTAGCATTCTATACAGCGTATAGGAATGCTTCCTAATGGTATTCTGCACAGCGCTGTACAGGTCAAGATGTGCAGATAGGAGTCCTAAATCAAAGTCAGTCTTCACACGAGTTACAGAATGGCTGTAACTCAAAAAAATGAATGAATAAGTCGATGAAGAAGAAAGTGCAGCTGTAGATTCCATGCGCCTGCTCGATTGTCACTTCAAACGCGGATATCGGGATCGCCTTCAGCACAGCGACACAACGCGACAGGGGCCAGTCGCAGCAGCAGCCGCGGTTGCCGCCGCAGCCAACCCCCCTCGCACAACCCCTCCGCGGGATCCCCTTCCGCAAAGAGGGCTCTGTACGCTTCCGCCAGCCGCGCGCCCACTGCTTCCCCCGCTATTTCCGCCCACGCGGCGCTTCCCTTCTCCCTCTCCTCCGCTCTGGGTTCCGCGGATGGGGGACTTATGCTCCCGGCGCGCGGAGCTCGCAGCAGTGGCGCAAGGCGCAGCCAGCGCGCCAATCACGCACGGATCGAGCAGGTCAGAGTAAAACCGCACCGTCATGCGAACTTTCTGCGAACCCACGCTTGCGGACTCGCTAAACCGTCCGCACGACCGTCGTCGCCGGCCGGCGGAGGAGCTGCGCACCGACGTTTCCGAGCCTTTGCTGCTTGTTCGAGCCAGCCGGTGCCGAGACTCAGGTTCGGCATCCCGAACCTGCTGCAATCGTGACCCATGATTCGGCACCTCTCTGGGACTCCTCATAACGGGATCGGAGCAGCGCTTGACGAGTACCCTTCCCGTACCGTGCTGCTGCCGCTGCGGGCTCCCGCAACTCCCCGCCACATCTCGCCCGGACAGCGGAGACGGGCCCCGCGCGCGCTCTTTGTAATTTCCGCCTTCCGCGCCTGCCCCCACCTTCTCGCCAACCCAGTGGCGGCTTCCGCCGGTGCTACCGGAGCGGCGGAACCGCCGCCGGGTGCTCTCTTCCGACTCGTACTCCTCGTCGTCGGCGTCCCACGCGCCGGGATCGCCGGGCGTGCGCGCGAGCGACACGATGCAAGGCGTGCCGAGCTTGCAACCGAGCATGCGCGCGCGCAGCTGGGGGAACGACGGGGGGGAGGTGAAATCGTCGAGCGCGCGCGCGGGGATGGTGATGCTGGGGGGAGATTGTGGGGAGGCGAGCTCGGAAAGCGGGCTAGAATTGTCAACGTCGGGGGACAGCGACGGGAGCGCCTCAGAAACTCGATCGCGGGGAGTGAGCTGCTGGGGCGCTGTCCGCGCAGCGGAAGCGCAAGCCGCTGATGGTACGACGAATGATGCGGCGGGTGATGCGGCGCTGGGAACGGGCGGGCTGGACAGCTTGAGCGACTTTTCGGCGAACTGCTTCGCGAGGCGCGCGGAGTTGGGGAAAATCTCGTCGTAGTTAATCTCCCAGATTTCTAGAGGATGGCGCTCGCCGGGCGCCTCGTCAGCGGTGGCGGGGCGCGCAATCACGAGCGGCTTGACCTTGGCGCGGAAGCTGTCGAGCGAGTTCTGGCGCAAGGGGGGAGCGCAAAATGCGCCGAACCTACTAGGCGGAGGGGAGACCTGGCGGGTCTGGGGAGCGGAAACAGATGCGCTACGGAAGTTGGGAGCGGCCATATTGAACGTCGTGAGCTACGGGAGGATAAAGCCTCAAATGTAAGACGATCTAACGACTACGATCTAGTAACGCGAAGAGCTCTGATGATGGTGGGGAGGCCGAACTATTTTGAGCTTTTCAGTACTATGTTGCAATTTTGCTAAATGGGTGGGATATTCGGCCAGCAGAAAATGTTGGTAGGTAGGAAATTGGAAGGAATGCTTTCGTTGTCCTCGAGAATGGGGGAGGGGTCTGCACTTTATGCAAGCGCATTGGCCTGCGGGTCTATTGCCGTGTGAAACTGCTGAAAAGCGACGGCCGGTGCAGGAATCAGGGGGAACAAACAAACCACCGTTTCTCGTCTCGAACGTCGGCGGAGCTGGTTGGTGCAACTGTTCACTGTGATCGATTGACGGACGGTCTCCACCCACCGTCCCACCCACCCACACTCGCTGTCGCGCGCGAGGGAGGGTGGGAGGAAACGCGCGTGATGGGGAAGTGTCATGTGCGCCTCGTTCTGTTGGTGATCGTTGGTGTCAGGAGGGGGAACAGTAGTCGCGCACGCTTGTCGCACTGCTCCTGCGGAGGTGTGCAAAACGTAGGGGAGGGATGGAGTCGACCGTTCACCACCACTTTCTTCTCCTTCCTAAACCCCGCGACGAGCACAGTTCGCTGGGCGAAAGTATTGCGAATTCAAGCAGACAGCTGGACACTTCGTCTGGCGGTGTGGAGGTGCGAGCGTGGAGGGGGGTGAGGAGGAGGAGAATCGTTTGTCGCCAGTTTTCGCTCCAGCGTGACTGGCGGTGTGAAGGTCGTTTACCTGCGAAACGGAGACAGTGGACGGTCGGGAGGGGGAGTTTGAATGAGGCGCTGCACTTCCTGCGCCGAGTGTTTTTCCAGGGCCCTGTTCTGTTGCCCATCGGCAAAATGGTGGGCAGACAGCACTGCACCGCATCAGCTGTGCGACAGGAGGCTCGGGGCGCATAATTTTTTTTGAAGGCTCACGCTAACTTCCTGCCCCCCTCCGCGTATTTTCACGGCTAAGTTTTATTTTCGATCGCAGACCGTCAATCTTCCTCTCGCCACCAACTACTGGATGGTGGGATGGCCTGAAAGCAAACGGACCAACCAGGACAAAGAAATACATTTACCCCTGCCCTGAACCACTTAGTGCGGACCCTTGATCCCCCCCTCTGAGAGGGAACTTGGGCCGCACCAGCCCCGCACCCATTTTGCCTGGGAGCGGGGGATCACTTTTGCTGCACTGGTTCACCGTTCTTTTGGGCGGACGGACTGCACTGCACTCTTTAGGTCCGGGAAGAGGTTCAGTGTCCCGAGCCTGGTATCGAGGAATGCGCCCCCGTAAATGAAGCTCCGAAGATCTCCGGTCGAAGCCCAGAAGAAGCATCAATTGGTGCTGTGCGGAGGGGTCCGCACCTAGTGGTGCGTCAACGGAACAGGGCCCAGGAGGGACGAAAATCGGTCCAATCTGCGATGCGGGAATAATTGTGCGCCTGCCGTACGGGCGAAGGGTGCGAGCGAACGAAAAACGTCTATGCGCACCTCCCAAAGAAATTCCACGAACGATCTTGCTAGCGCAGCTCACGGCGCATTTCAATTGGCTCTCCGTGTGGACGGCTTACATGAATGATCGAGGCGCGCACAATATCGGTGCTGACGGTGATGATCACTTTTTTTTTGCTCCGCGAAGACGAGGGATTGGTGCGCGGACGTGGCCTGGAGGCTGACAGTTTTGAGGAAGAGTTGACGCATGGTCCACGCTTTTTCTGATTGAATGGAAGAGGCGTGCGACGTCGCCAGCTGTGGAGAGCTTGCAACCACCAATGACAGTGTGGCCACAACACTGGCTAGTAACTGCACTACGGACAAATGGGTGTGGGGTCACACACAGCACACGAATCGGCAGATTTTACCACCTGCGTCTCGCAACGCTCAATTATAGACCACTCTATTCTCACCTGCGACTTACCATAATATCTGCGATCTCAGAATTTAACCATGCGACTCGTGCCCCACAACGTTACTTGCCGACAGTGACCGTGAAGTGCGTGTGATTGTTGCAATGAAAGCCGAACACAGAACTCATCACAACAGGAACTTAGATCATCTGCTTAATTAAGTATTGTGAGAACAGCTTGTGCTGGAGAAGTTTTGCTTGTTTTCTTCGAAGTGTTTGGCAAAGAAAAGCAAATACAAGAAAAGAAAGGGATTCCTGAGGTCGGACCAGGTTGACTAAGTTGACATCATAGCTCCAATCACAAAATATATTTTCACGGCCAGCAAATCGGTCTTGCAATCGACGGCTTCATTACAGTCAGATGTACCGAACCTCGAGAGCTTCCACCAACACTAACAAAGGTAAATGAACTAGCTGAGTTTGAAAATAATGCTTCAAATCAAATAATTCCTATCACCACAGCAACAAGCATAGCCTATTGGGACCTGCTTCACTCCATTCCTTAGCGAATGCTCATTGCGCTGGTGCTATCCTGGAACGCAAGCTTTTCGATCATCTCTATTTCTGCACTGAAATTCCCAACTCTTTGGGACTCCACCTCCTCATCAATCCTCTCAGCCATCCTAGATGACACCTTCCCCAGAAACTCCTTCCTGAGCGCCGTGAGCTCAGATACCACCTGGATCATGTCAGGACGAGACACGGTCGGCATGCCCGAGCAGCGCAGCGCCAGCTGCGTTAGCCGCAGAATCAAATCTGCCGGGGCGTCCAATCGCGGGTCTTTCATTTCCTCTGCTTTGCCGGCCGCAACTAACGATTCCGCCTGAATGGGAAGGGTTCACACGGTATGATGCACACAATACATGGAGTTTCACGTTGATAAAACAGGTGTTGATTGAGGAAGCAGACACGTTACGTGGTGCCTACTTGGCATGGTGGTTGAATAACACTGGCAAGTTTTTGGGGGGCATCCTTCCCCCCACCCTTCCCCCACCTTTCCTCCCACCCCTGCTACAACCCCACCTCAAGTGACCACAGAAACCCATCCTTGCACAACTGTCACATACACAAAAAACTCACCCATTTCCTGACGTGAAATTGTTGCCGTACTCATCCGCCTTGAGTGCCCGGTGGCCTTTACGCCACCTCACTGCGAGTGGCAACTCACCCATTTCCTGACATTGAAGTTGTTGCCGTATTCATCAGCTTTAAGTGCATTGTGGTCTCTGAGGCGCCTCAAAGATTTTGAGGCACCACCAGGAGCATCGAAACTCACCCATTTCCTGACGTTGAAATTGTTGCCGTACTCATCAGCCTTGAGAGCATTGTTGCCGGACATTGTGGTCAGAATGAGGATGCCAAAGCTGGGAGGTGGGGAGGCATGGAAAGGAGTGGAGAGCGGTAGGGTCAGTCCGAAAATTATCCGCCTTGAGAGCATTGTTGCCCGATATTGTGGCCAGAATGAGGATGCCAAAGCTGGGGGATGAGGAGGCATGGAAGGGGAAGGGAAGTGAACAGGGTGGGAAGGTACGGAAAGGAGTGGAGAGCGGTAGTTTAGTCGAATAAAACAACTTCCCCATTGACTGCCTTGCGGCCTGACAGAGTGGTCAGGATGAGGATGCCAAAGCTGAGAGGTGCCGCTCGCTCAACACCGCTTTATACCATTCTGTACCTCTCTCCACCTCTCTGTAACGGTTAGCACTGGTCTGTACCCCATTCCACCGCTCCGTGACCTGTGCACATCAGCCATGGGGGACTTGCTGGACTTAAGTAGGCAGGTTCCAGGTGGAACCGTGTGCCCATCACTCCCTCCCAAGCAATCCCTTGCAACACAATACCGGTTTTGAACCATATTGCACTGCTCAATATGAAGCTGTACCGCACTCCACCACTCTGTACCTGTAGAAATCGGCCATGGGAGACGCCTTGTTGGAGTTGAAATAAGCGGGTTTCCACAGAGCCCGGTGTGCCTATCCATTGCACTCTTCCTCACATGATAAGAACACTCTGTAACACACTGCACCGCTCTGTACCTGTACACATCGGCCATGGGGCTGGCCTTATTGATCTTGAATTATGCGGAGTTGACACAGCCCGGTGTGCCTGCCACTTTCACGTACTCTCTTCCATGGCAACACCAGTTTGCACTGCTCTGTACCGCTCAAATGTACCGGTGTACCACACTGCACCGCTCTGTACCTGTACACATCAGCCATGGGGGTGGCCTTGTTGGACTTGAAGTAAGCGGGCTCCACATGGCCCGGTGTGCCCATGATGCGAGTGTCTCCCACCGTCATGCCCTCGTTCTGCCTCAGCAGCCCAAAGTCTGCCACCTTGGCCTGGTGTGAGGCACAGGGAGGGATTTGAAGGGACAATGAGGGAGGAGAGGGGAAGCAAGGGCAAGATCATGATGCGAGTGTCCCCCACCGTTGTGCCCTCGTTCTGCCTCAGCAACCCAAAGTCTGCCACCTTTGCCTGGCGGGGTTAAGGGAGGGGCATGCAAAGAAATGGGTTTCGAGGCAATTTCAGGGAGGGGAGAAGAGGCAAGGGCAAGATACATTGGCCTGGTGGGTTTGATGGTGGAAAGTGCATTCAGGTCAGGGCACACGGGCTAAGTTGGAATATACGCTACTTTGCTTTTGCGTTTTGCGTTTATACTCTTGACGAATTCGTTCGGTGCGTATATTTTGAAAATTCGCCGAGTTGAATTTCGGGCAGACCGAAAAAAAATCAATCTGAAGCTCGCGACGTGTCGATCTCGATTTTGAGTCGCAGATGTCGCGAACTGAACTCGAATTTTGAATTTTGTGCTCCAAACCTCTCAACCCCACCCCTTTACTGTTTCACACCCCTTTAAGCCATAGCATTCCACCACCCCCTTCAACCACTACTTCATTGGTAGGGAGCTCAGCCCAACACAATCTCCCAGGCATAAAGAGTGGCATTTGTTCACTCGATATTCATTCTCTCTCTTCATATTCGAGCTACCTCTTCTCCCCAGCAAACATGGCTGCTACCCCTACAGCAACTAGTTTTCGTTCTTCACCCTCAGAGGCTCCTGGTAGTTCCGCTGGAGGGGCCTCTTCCGTTACGGCTTTGGTCTCCATGGACAGCAAGCACGTTGTGTACCGCCACTACAAATGTACGGCTGGCGTTGGCGAGAACGGCACCAAGGTGTGTGCCTGCTGCAACTTCAAGTTCGTAGGCGGAGTTTACCGCTGCGCGCAGCATATCACCAGCTGGAACGGCATGCGCCATCGCGAAGTGCATCTCTGCACTGCAGCGCCGAAGATAGCACATGACGCTGTGAAGGCGCATTACGAGTCCAAGTTGAAGGCCCGTGAAGCGAAGCGTGCGGCTGAAATTGCGGCGGTCGACACAGTCAACGACGGTTCAGACAAGAAGAAGAGTCGAATGACCGACTTCTATGGCGATGACGCCGCGTGCGCGAACCAGGCCGCAGACGAGGCCAGAAGCCTCTTCTTCGCCGCTCTTCATGTGCCGGAGCATCACGCGGACCACTCACTGTGGCGGAATGTAGTCTCCAGCATCAAGCGCGCGGGGCTGAATTACATCGCGCCGAAGAGACGCTACATCGGTGGAGCCGGTCTTGCAAAGTGTCGCCAGCGCATTGAGGCGGCTCTCGCTCCAAACTCAGCAAGCTGGCGCCGTGACGGTGTCACCGTGGCAAGCGACATGTTCTTTGACAAGACCGGCCGCCTGCAAGCCAATGTCCTCCTCATCAACGATAGCGGAGCGGTGTTCGTGAAGTCGATTGACACCAAGATGGAGATGAAGATCGGCGGCTACATCGCGAGCATCTTACGCCCCGTCATCGAAAAGGTTGGCCCTGAGAATGTTGTGGCCTTGTGTTTTGACGGCAGGTCCAATTACGCGGCGGCCTGCAGGGAGTTGATGACGGAGTATCACCACATCGAACACATCCCGTGCGCGACCCATGTCCTGGATCTCCTGATGGAGGACATCGGGAAAATGGGATGGGCGAAGGACGTCGTCACGCGCGGGGACACCCTCATCTCGTTCGTCCGCAACCATCACTTTACCCTCGGATACATGCGGAGCAAGCTAGTGAACGGCGGCAAGGGGAGGCAGGTTCTCAAGCCCGCGGGAACCCGATTCGGCACCAACTACATCGCCATCAACCGCCTCTGTGAAGTGCGCGCCGGCCTGATGCAGATGGTCCTCAGCGATGAGTCGCGCAACTGGCCAACGACACCAAAGAGGGTAGGGGCAGATACCTTCAAAGTCAACATCCTTGATGACACGTGGTGGACGCGCGCCGAGTTCTTTGCGAAGCTGATGAAGCTGCCGTTCGTCGTCATGCGCAAGACGGACTCGGATGCGAAGGGTATGATGGGTCATCTCTACGACCTCATGCTCTAGCTCACCGAGGACATCCACGGCTTCCTCGACGAGCATGCGGAAGGGGTCCTGAGAAGCGGAGAGGTGGGGGATATTCGGGAGATTGTGCAGGACCGCTGGGACAACGGGCCGGCGTGCGACATGCACATGGTGTCAGAACATTATAGCTTATATATATTTGTGTAGGCTATAGTGGGGTATCCCATAGGGGGTACAACCCAACCAGGGTTTCCTATATGTACTCACTTCATTCATAGTTGATTCATTCTCGTTCTATTTTTCTCATTGTATCGAGCAGGTTCCCCTGTGGGAACTGTGCTTAGGGCCCACCACCACTTCGAACTTTTTTTCTGCCCGGAGCGCGCTCCGGGCTCTCTCTTTCACTCTGTCGACCTACCCTTAGACGCCCGCGCGCCGCCCGTCCCGGCCCTTAGCCGCCCGCGCGCCGCCCTTAGCCGCCCGCGCGCCGCCATTCTCGGCCCCTAGACGCCCGCGCGCCGCTAGTCCAGGCCCCACGCCGCCCGCGCGCCGCCCTTAGCCGCCCGCACGCCGCCTGTCAGGCCCCGAGCCGCCGTCGCGCCACCCTCAAGCGCTCGTGCGGCGCCCGTCCCGGCCCGTCGACGCCGTGTGCCGCCTGTCCCGGCCCCACGCCACCCGTGCGCCGCCCATCAGGCCTCCACGCCGCCGTCGCACCGCCCGTCAGGCCCCACGCCACCCGTGCGCCGCCCGTCAGGCCCCACGCCGCCGTCGCGCCGCCCGTTCTGGCCCGTCGACGCCGTGCGCCGCCCGTCCCGGCCCCAAGCCACCCGTGCGCCGCCCGTCCCGGCCGCGCACAGCCGTCCTGGCCCCCAGGCGCCCGTGCGCCACCCGTCCTGGCCCCTCGCCACCGTCCCGGCCCCAAGGTGCCCGTGCGCCACCCGTCCCTGCCGCACGCCGCCGTCCCGGCCCTACGCCGCCCGTACGCCGCTGTGACACCCAGCCGCCCGAGCCGCCCGTGCCACCCGCGTCACCCGAGCCGCCCGAGCCGCCTGCGCAGCTGAGGAGCCGAGCCGCTCGAGCCGCCTGTGCCGCTGAGCGCCCGAGCCGCCCGAGCCGCCCGAGCCGCCCGAGCCGCCTGAGCCGCCCGAGCCGCCCGAGCCGCCCTAGCCGCCCGAGTCGCCTGAGGAGCCGAGCCGCTGGTCCCGCGGAGCTGCTGTTGCTGCTGGGCCGGCCGAGCTGCTGTGTTGCCGTGTTGCTGTGCTGCTGAGCTGCCCGACCCGCCCTGTCTGGTGAGACTGTCGACTGCTGTCATGGCTACCCCTAGTGTCCTAGCTTTTGACGCTGAGGGTCGCGCCATTGACTTTGAGGTCTGGGTCGACGACCTGCAGCTGTTCTTACAGTGCGATAGAGCAGACGGTCTTTCTCTCTTTGACCTCACCTCTGGCGGCGTCCCTGCCCCTGCTGCTGATGCTGACCCCACTGTGCGCTCCCAGTGGGCCACACGCGATGCTGCTGCACGTCTTGCTGTGCGTCGCCACCTGCCTACCGCTGAGCGCGCGCACTTTAGCCAGTACAAGAGTGCTCAGACCTTGTACGACGCTGTAGTTGCGCGCTACTCCTCCCCTGCCACTGCTGCACTGAGCCGCCTCATGCTACCCTTCCTCTTCCCTGACCTTGCTGCCTTTCCCACAGTCGCTGACCTCATTACGCACCTCCGCTCTAGTGACACTCGCTACCGCGCTGCGCTCCCTGCTGACTTCTGCGCCAAGAACCCCCCCCCCCCCATGTACATCACTCTCTATTTCACAGTCACCCGCCTCCCTGACTCCCTTCGTGTAGTCAGAGACTACTTCCTCCCGGTCTGTCCCACCACACTCACTGTAGACCTCCTCGAGAAGTCCCTCCTAGCGGCAGAGAAGAGCATAGTCGCTGTAGGGGCTTCTCGTGGTGACCCTCGCACCCCCATCTTTGAGGGGTGTTCTCCTTCCCCCCTGTTGCCCTTTGTCGCCTCTGCCGCTGCGGCCGACCTCGTTGGACTTGAGTCGGTCGGTGCGGCGTCCGCCCCTAGCGGGAGACGCCGCTCTGGCAAGGGCAAAGGGGGCAAGGGCGCGGGTGGAGCTGGCGGGGGCGGTGGAGGTGGAGGTGGCGGTGGCGGAGGGAGTGGGGGTGGCGGTGGAGGTGGTGGAGGGGGTGGAGGTGCTAGTGGCGGCAGTGGAGGCGGAGGCGGCGGTGGCGGCGGCGTTACTGGCGGAGGCGGAGGTGGCGGTGGAGGCGGAGGCGGCGGAGGTGGAGGTGGTGGAGGTGGTCGGAGTGGCGCTTCGCAGCGGAGCAGCACTGGGGGTGGTCAGCGCCAGCAGCAGCAGCAGCAGCGGTCTCGTGACGTCCCCACCCCTCAGCAGCTCCGTGAGTGGTACACGCAGCGTAAGCGAGGTGGGGGTTTTGGTCCCTGCAGCTACGTCCTTCGCACCGGCGACCGCGCGGGTGAGCAGTGTGGGGGTGCCCACTCCGCCCAGCGCTGCTTTGGCCGCCTGACGGACGCTTGGCGCCAGCAGTTTACGGAGGCCACTGAGATCCCCCGCTGGGGAGAGCTGTCTAGGGCTGGTGTAGCTATCTTTGATCTTGACTTTGATGCTATCCTTGCTGCCATGTATGCTGTGACTATTAGTGATGAGGGTGACTGTTACCGGTGTTTCCCGCCCGACCCGGGCATTGGTACTGCTGCTCTAGGTGCCAGTGAGGCTACTGCTCTAGGTGCCAGTGCGTCTGTGCCCTCAGGTACTAGTGAGGCTGCGCTCTCAGGTACTAGTGAGTCTGCGCTCTCAGGTACTGCGTCGGCTTCGGCCTCCCACACCTTCACCCTTGACTCTGGGGCGTCTCGCTCCTTCTTTCGGGACCGCACCACACTCACGCCGCTTAGTCGGCCGGTTGCGGTGTCCCTGGCTGACCCCTCTGGGGGTCCTGTCCTGTCTCGCTTCTCCACAGTCCTCCCGTGTCCGGCGGCTCCCTCTGGCACCCTGTCTGGTCTCTACCTCCCCTCGTTCTCTACGAACCTGGTGAGTGGTGCTGACCTACAGGATGCGGGTGTACACCAGTTCACTCCTGCTCGTCAGCGGGTGACGCACTGCACAGAGGCTAGCACAGGTCGCCACCAGGCTACGTTTACCCGACAGCCAGGGTCGAGCCTGTACACTCTGACCACTGCTTCTCCTCCAGTTGCTGAGTCTGGTAGGGTCCGTGCGTCTGGTCAGGTGTTTGCTGCAGCGTCCAGGTCTGGTCCTAAGTCTGCCCCCTGTTCGTGTCGTCGACTGTCCCACGAGACTCTCCTCTGGCACCACCGTCTTGGTCACCCCTCCCTGCTTCGGCTCAGAGGCATGGCCTCCCGTCTTCTTCTGTCTGGTCTCCCCCGGTCCCTGCCTCCCCTTCCTCAGGGCCCTGGCCCTGCCTGTGTCCCCTGTGTCGAGGGGCGCCAGCGTGCTGCCCCTCACTCCTCCCAGTTTCCTCCGACAGAGGCCCCGTTGCAGACGCTGCACATGGACGTGTGGGGCCCTGCCCGCGTCCGTGGACTAGGTCACGAGCGCTACTTCCTGTTGGTGGTTGACGACTACTCGCGTTACACAGCAGTCTTCCCCTTGCGCAGCAAGGGTGATGTCACTGAGGTGCTGATCGACTGGATCCGCGCAGCTCGTCTCCAGCTCAGGCAGAGCTTTGGCTCGGACTTTCCTGTTCTGCATCTGCACTCGGACAGAGGCGGAGAGTTCTCCTCTGACCTTCTGCGTGCCTACTGTTGTGCGCGAGGCATCCGTCAGACCTTCACGCTTCCGGACTCACCGCAGCAAAATGGGATTGCAGAGCGCCGCATTGGCATGGTCATGGACGTCGCTCGTACGTCTATGATGCATGCGGCGGCCCCCCATTTTCTGTGGCCGTTTGCGGTCAGGTACGCGGCGCATCAGATCAACCTCCACCCCAGGGTCTCCAGGCCGGAGACCTCCCCAGCCCTGCTGTGGACCGGGAAGGTTGGCGATGCGTCGGCGTTCCGGGTCTGGGGATCTCGGGCGTTTGTCCGCGACTTGTCTGCGGACAAGCTGTCCCCTCGCGCTGCTCCCTGCGTCTTCCTGGGGTTCCCCCTCGACGCCCCTGGGTGGCAGTTCTACCACCCCACCTCTCGCCGTGTTCTGTCCTCCCAGGACGTCACGTTCGACGAGTCGGTACCCTACTACCGCCTCTTCCCCTACCGCACTCCGTCCCTCCCCCCACCCCCGCTCTTCTTGGTACCAGGTCCCCCCCCGGTAGACCCCCTTCCCCCTTAGGGTCCTGCCCCTTCAGGTGTGTCCCAGGTAGACGTGGTCGAGCCTGTCGAGGTCACTGGTGACTCTGGTGCTGCTGCGGGTGCTGAGCCTAGGGGTACTGAGACTGGGGGTGCTGAGCCTAGGGGTGCTGAGACTGGGGGTGCTGAGCCTGGGGGTGCGGAGCCTGGGGGTGCGGGGCCTGGGGGTGCTGAGCCTGGGGGTGCTGAGCCTGGGGGTGCTGATCCTAGGGGTGCTGAGCTTGGGGGTGCTGAGCCTGGGGGTGCTGAGCCTGGGGGTGCTGCGACTGGAGGTGCTACGCCTGGAGGTGCCTTGCCTGGGAGTGCTGAGCCTGGAGGTTCTTCGCCTGGAGGTTCTCTGGGTGCTTTGTCTCGCCGAGAGCCACTCTCCCCACCGGAGCTGCGTGAGTGGTTTGCCCGGCGCTGGCGGCGTGCTGCTGGTGCTGGAGGTTCTTCGGCTGCTGAGGGTGCTGCTGTCGCGGGGTCCGGAGGTACTCGTACTGGGAGTACTTGAGCTGCTGGGCCTGCGGGTTCGACTGGAGCTGGTGCTGCTGAGGGTGTTGGCACTGAGACTACCACTGGCGGTCCTGCTGGGGGTGCTTCTGGTGCTGCTGGAGGTTCTGGAGCTGCTAGAGGTGCTGCTGGAGCGGGTGCTCCTGCTGGGGGTCCTGGTGCTGTCCCTACTGTGTCTGGCGTCGTCACGCGGCCTCGACCGTACTTCGTTCCACTCCTGCAG